TGACTTTTGCCCATCTTTACAAATTCGATTCTCCCTAACCACAAGGGTGTTTGAGAAGTTCTTGGACAATTTGGAAAGCTTGGAATGTGTACTACAATCCATCTTTGTAATGCAAATTGAAATTCCAAGTGGAAGCATGTGAAAAGTGGCCATGAAGTTGGGCAAAATTCCTGCCTAAAATAGGTCAAAAAATTTCTAAGTTATGAATGTTTTACACCCCTATTCCAAATATCATAACTTGAGCTACAAGCTTCTTTTGAGGAAACTTTGTTTATCAAAGTTGTATATTTTGCAATGGACTATAACTTTCATGTTTTGAGTTTTGTTTGAATCCAAAAGTATCTTGATGAAAAGATGGGACAAAGTTAGGAAAAAATTAGGAAATTTCATAACTTAGAAAATTTCTAAGTTATGAAATTTCTTCATTTCAAACCCTAATTTGTAATTCTTGGTTTCTTGATGAACAAGTTTCATACTTTGGCATGTATTGATGAAAAATGAATCTTGATACTTGATTTTGACCAAAAAGTCAAAGTTTGACTTTTCAGTATACAGTCAAACTTTGCTCAGTTGACTGGAAAATTCATTTGTCAATCTTGTGCATTTGAGATCTTTTGAACTTGTTGAATATGTCAAGACCATGCCATTGAGTCTTTGAGCCCATATGTGCGCTTGATTTGCCATTGGCCAGGTCAAACAGTCAAAAATTGCCTTTGTGCAGTCAAAACCCTAAAAATGACCATTTTGCCCTTTTGGTGATCTGATCAAATTTCTTCTGGAATTGAGATCCAAACTTGATCAAATGGTCCATATGAGTTCATAATGTTGATGTGGGTCAAAAATCATGAGGTTTGACTGTCAATTGACCACAGTTGACTTTTTCCCCAATATAGCTGATTTCTAGGTCAACTGTCCAATTGACTGGGCAAAGATTGGAATCAAGGCTTGAAACTTGGTATGGATAAACTTGTGAGCCCTACATGAAGCATGAAAGTCATCTTGGGCATTTTAGGTCAAAACATCCTTGTGCAAACTCAAACCCTAATTTGGGTCAAGAGTGCAAGGAGGAGTCTTGAGCAGAGCAAACCCTAACTTGATCTTGAGCTTCAAGGGTCTTGTGGTGAGAAAATATTGATGAAATGGGAGGGAAAATTTTGGGGTACAACACTAACTCTATCTTTTCAGGTAAAGTTCACAAACAGATGAACATCATCAATAATTTTTTAATAGGTCATAGAGTAATTCCTGAAACAGGACGGGGCGACTATCTACATGACCAGACAATTTCCTTCAGAAACTGAATTCTGACAAGCATTTCCCTTTGAGACTAAATCTGACAAGTATCTAATTAAGCACTTTCCCCATAGAGTCATTTTGAAAAATATCTCTTCTAGATAAAGTCGGGTGTAGACATCTTCTAGTATATCATTCGGATAAAATCAAGCGTAGATTTATTCTGATATTCTTTTTGGACAAATTCAGGTGTAGGCTCATTCCAAATATCTCTTCTAGATGAAGTCGGGCGTATACATATTCTAGTGCATCATTCATATGAAGTCAGGCGTAGATTTCCTTATGATAATCTTTTTGGAAAAAAAGTCAGGCGTAGACTCCTTCCAATACCTCTTCTAGATGAAGTCGGGCGTAGACATCTTCTAGTACATCATTCTAGACAAAGTCGGGCGTACACTCATTCTAGTATATCATTAGGATAAAATGAAGCATAGATTTATTATGATATTCTTTTTGGAAAAAAGTCGGGTGTAGACTTATTCCGAACGTATCTTCTAGATGAAGTCGGGTGTAGACATCTTCTAGTACATCAGATGAAACCAAGCGTAGATTCATTCTGATATTCTTTTTGGAAAAAAGTAGGGCGTATAATCATTCCAAACGTATCTTCTAGACAAATTCGAGCGTAGACTCATTCTAGTACATCATTAAGATAAAATCAAGCGTAGATTCACTCTGGTATTCTTTTGGATAAAATCGGGCGTAGACTCATTCCAAATATGTCTTCTAAGACAAAGTTCGGCATATACTTATTCTGATATTCCTATCAACAATTACCATAGATGGCATCTAAACGCCCATCTCCGACAACTCACCATCACCTCTCCAAATGGCATCTTTAAGCCCATTCCCGGTATAATCAACCAACAGTGTTATTTCGTGCACATGCGAGTGCAAATTTATGGGCACTTAAGTGTTCAATCATCTTCTACCTTCAAGTCACGAATGGCAGACATGCCAATCTAACTATTCAGGTTTAAGAAGATTGAACAGGGGCAGCTGTTGTACCCTAAAATTTTCACTCCCGTTTTTCTTCAAGACAATCCCAAAAGGTCCTCAAATGTTCAAGGTGGCTCAAGAATTGATCAGATAAATTCTCCTCCTAAGCAATGGGTCCACAACTAAGGTTTGGTATTTCTAAAGGAAGATTTGGTTTCAAAGGTCTCAAATGGTTTTCATGGGTACTCATATTTATTCAAGGATGCTCATATCAAGTTTCAAGCCTTGCACCACAAGTTTTCTCAGTCAATGACTCAGATGACTGAAAATCAATTGTATTGGGTAAAAAGTCAATTATGGTCAAGATACAGTCAAACTTCAAGATTTTTGGCCAACATCAAGGTTTTGAAGTTATATTCATCAATTGATCAAGGGTTGATCATAGTTCATCAAGAAAACTCTCAATTCATCAAAAGTCAAAAGTTGCCAAATTAGGGTTTTCTTAAGGAGAAGTCAACTGAACTTTGACCAAGCATAACTTTCACATGCTTCATCAACTTCTCCCCAACCATAACATATCTTGAAGTAAATTCATTTCCCTACAACTTTTAATCTATAAGCCCAAGTCCAAAAAATGCATCATTTGAGAGATATTAGCCAATACATTACAGGTCATTTCAAAAGTCAACAAAAAGATACTTTTTGTCATGGCAACTTACATCAAGATAAAGTCTTAAAAAATGATTAACATAGAGGTTGTAGAGGATCTTGAGCTTTCCAAAAAGTTTAAGATCACCTTCAAAAGATAAAAATTGATTAAGTTACGACCATTGCAAGTTAGGATATTTTGCGCAAATAAATGAAGATCAAATTGAGAAAGCTTAACATTTTGGGCTATCAGGCCATGGTTTGAGAGTCCAAACGTGTATTGTACTCTTCATACACTTCAAACCTTATTCATACACCCCTTGACCTATTTTTTATTTTAAATATTTTAATTATTTTTTATTTATTCATTAATAATACAAAATAAATAAGATGAAATCATATCTTTTTACACAAGGTCCAAGTCCACTTATCCTTGACCTAATTTTTCACTATATAATCTCATCAACTCTCATACAAACACACATGAGAAAACATTGCCTCAAAATTTTCAAAAAACATAAAACTTTTTTCAAGAACCCTAGAATTTCCAAACTCTTGTTGCAACCCCTTTCACTACAAAATCTCCATTCCATTCTCTTTCAGCCAGCATATAGAGTAAGTTTGGACCAAATTTGATGGTCCAAAACATATGAATTGAATTACATGGAATCGTAGGTTTTCATAATGTGCATGATGTTCATATCTTAATTTTTTGTTTGCTTTAACATGTACTAACGTCCCTAATGTGTTTATGAGGTTTGATAGTGCAGGTTAGGACAATCATGGAGGTCCCATGCATGTTAAATCGTGAACCTCCATGCTAGCACTGATTTCACATGTTTTCATTATAGCTCTTAATACCTTGTATTTTAGCCTTCAAAAATACTCACATTAGATTCACAACCATTAATTTAGGGGGATAAGACACTTCTGGATCACTAATGTTTTGATTTTTGCAGGTATTTAAAAGAGCAGGTCGTCGGAGAAGATGACTGAAGCTAGGGTTCCGACGCTTCTCCGGCCAATATATTTGTTTACATATTATATATATTTTGATTCAATTATATGAACGAATGTATAAACTTTAGTGAGTCTCGAAAAACCATATATAAAAGTTATATAGTAGTTATTTCCTCCTCTAGATGTAGTTTGCTTTAAGTCTCCTAAATCGATATGAATTAGACTAAGAAGATCAAATTCATGTTGCACAAACATACATGTTTTCTTTGTCAATTTTGATTCTAAACATATATGACATTTATTAGATTGCTTATTATTTAACGTAATCATATCAAGACTTTGCATTCTATTAATATAAGAAGAATAAACATATCCTAATCTAGCATACCATATATCATAAGAATCAATCAAGTAAGCAGAAGAAGAAACTTTATTATTCATAACTTCAAAAATGTTCAACACAAAGAGTCCCTGATCATAATAACATTTTCCCACAAATACATTATTCTTTGTCATTACAATCTTGTCAGATTCAAATGACACTTTAACCCCATCCTTTCTCAAAAGAGCCACACAAATTAAATTAGTCCTAATATTAGGAACATGTAATACTTCACCCAAAGTCAAGGTTTTTCCTAATGTGAGTTTTAACATAACTTTGGCTTTTCCTGAAACTCCGACAGTTCGAGAATCACCAAGATAAACTTGTTCTTCTCCACCCCTCACAGTAGTGTAAGAGGTAAATGCATCTTTATTAGCACATATGTGCCTAGTATCCCCAAAGTATACTATCCATTTATTCACAGCAGTCACAATATTTGCTTTAGCAATGACAACAAATAACATCATCTTCTTCATTCAAGTTAGCTTTAAGAGGATTCTCATTCCTCTTGCGATATTTGTATTGTGGTGTATGATGACTTGGCTTACCACAAACATAATATTCTCCTCTTTATTTTTAAAAGTGGGATTAGTAACATGTGGGATAAAATTATTATGATTAGTATGACTAGGTTTATGATCGGGTTTGTGATCGTACCTCTCTTTGTGAAACTTATTCTGAGTATTATTCTGAACCAGATTTGCTCGGGAAACAAAACTTTTTGCCTTTGCAGTCTTGCTCTCCTTTTTGTTTGTATCCTTGATAATGATCCGCGTGATCAAATCTGCCAAAGATAATTGCTTTTGTTTGTATCCTTGATAATGATCCGCATGATCAAATCTACCAAAGGTAATTGCTTTTGTTTGTGTTTGAGTTTATTCTTGTAACCCTTCCATGATTCTGGCAACTTCTCAATGAGAATTCCAACAACAAATTGGTCAGGCAGAGTAATGTTTTCAGCTTTCAGTTCTTCCAACAGCTTATGGTACTCATTGATCTGCATCTTGATATCTTTATCTTCATACATTTTCCAAGGTAGTAATTCCCAATAACAAATTTCTGTTTTCCAGCATCTTCAGCGGTATACTTTAGATTCATTGAGTCCCATATCTCATTTGCTTCCTTGTAACAGAAGTAGACATCGAACAAATCGTTAGACAAAGTACTTAATATGGTGTGACGGTATACCTTGTTTGCATGTGTCCATTGATCAATAACTTTTTGAGTTGCAGACGACGCTGGTTTTAGTTCTGAGATAGCCGAGGCAACACCGTGCATGTCAAGGATGGAGTGAACACGCTCATACCATCTGCAAAAATTCTGACCATCAAAAACTTCAATTTTTGACACATCGGGGAATGGTTTTACGTGATTAATCGTTGGTATAATAAGAGTGAGTTGTTTTTGAATAGTCTCATCATCATTGATTTGAATCAGACGATTGGAGTCATCACTAAAATTGTCTTCGATAACCATAAAATCTTTGAGATAGTTGTTGATAATGCTACAAAAACTTGCAAAATAAAAACCTGTAAGACAATCTTAGACGCACTGATGGCGCCGTCTTCAAAGATTTTCCGCGTAAAACGTTATTCCTCCGAGATTTAATAGACTCTTCTTGATAAATCAAAGATATAGAACTAGTAAGAAATATTTGAAGTTTTAACCCAGAATAATTTTTATGTAAAGTAATAATATTGAAAAAATTATTACGCAAAATATTATCTTTTCTTTGTACGTGTAAAGTGAATTTTTTTCACTGTTTCTAAAGTTTACTCACATTTGTTATATATGGTGACATAAAATCAAACAATAAAACTAATAAAATTCATTAATGGCCTCCAATCAATTTTTATCATAACCATCTAAATTGGTTTTATTCATATTCAAATTTTCAACGTAACAATTCAAACCATTTAATTTTTCAACGTAACAAATCCAAAACATAACGGTATGTACATTAATAAAATTGATTAATTTTTTCACTCAAATTAATTCATTTGATTTCAATTAAAACATCAAACGGTGATATTATTTATATTAGTCAAAATAATGATTTTGAACTATCAATACATGAGATTTAAATGAAATAATTAAAAGATAATTTATTTGTCAAAAATCATTTTAAATTATAATGATAATTATTTTTTAAATAAATAGTAACTACAACATTTTTTTATTATATTTGTTTTCTAAAATAATAAAATTTTTAAAATAGTTAATTTGTTTGACAAAATATTAAATCTAACTTAATTGTGAGACCTCATAAAAAATTAAGATATTATTCTTAAAGTATATGTATTCATGTTTTATTGTGATGCCGCATAACATTAAAATATTAAGATTATTATTTGAATAGACTGGTAATCATATTTCACGGATCACGGATAAATATTTATCAAACCTTCACATAAGTATAAATATCAGGAGTAATATTTTTATTGAATTGATCCTCCACGAGAATACAACATAAAACTTTATTCAAGTGTCATAATTTATTCTCGCCATGGTAATGATGTATACCACCCTTCGACTTGAAATCACTTAGATTCTATATGTGAAGTCGAGTATTTTATTACCGTTCAAACATTGTCAGTTATAGGGTGACTATAAAGATGGTTGATGGACACTCCTAAAATCATGTTAGGGGACATAAGTGACCTATATGAAGCTTATGAGATTTGTGGATGTTGTCGAAGAAATTTTTGCAAGAGTCTTCATCTTCATCTCTCGATGAAGCTCTAAAGATTCTGCTTGATAAAGCTCCTTCATCATTTCTCCTTTCAAATATTCTACTAACCGAAGCTTATTAACTATTAGACGAATATTCTTCAAAAGATCGTTTATCTACTGAGATTGTTCTTTCACATAAAATCTCTGAGGTTGATTTGACTTCTTCTACTTTGAAAGAATCTCTTTATGACATTGAAGAAGATTCTTCTAGAGTTCTTGAATTTATTCCCCAATATTTCAAATTAGTATCAGTTCATTGAGTTTTTAAAGGACTTCTTCTTTCTTGAAATTTTTCCTAAAAATTACTAACACTGATATCTCTTGATTTAAGGATTGGATAAGGTTTGTGATTCAAATTCTTAAATCTTAGATATTTTCTAGATACGAAAGTTTCGAAACTTCTACCAAGGTTTCCAATGGTTGATCATCATATGTAAAGATAACCCTCACATTCATTTGATGTTTCAGCTTCCTGAATACGTGTGTTTATTTTCTCTTGTTGGATACTTGGAGAGACTCCTTAGATCTTCTCAAGAGTGTCTCACACTTCTTTGGTGGAATTATAATTATAGATATAAAAGAAGTGATTCTCACTCAGACATAATTAAAAAATTTTAGCTTTAAAATCAAGTTTGAACTTTCTCATGTCTTCTTCGGGCCAAAGAAAATCAGATTTTCTACTACTTCACCATTATCATAGTGAGTAAGGATAAACGGATCATTGATTATGGTTTTCCATAATTCATAGTTAACACCTTTAATGAAAAATTTTAAATCTAACTTTCCATAAATCAAACCTATCACCATTTAACAACTGAGGAGTATTTAGGATAATTCTCATGTTAAAAGAAATGTTTGAAGTCATCATCCTCCTGAGACGATTGGTCCTTAAACAAAAGTTAGACTCTGATGTCATTTTTTATACAAGTAACTCCAAACACAAAGCGGGTGAATTGTGGTGGTTTTAAAATCTTTTACTGAAAATAAAATCTTTGAGAAAATCAGAGTTTAAAATCATTTGTAAATATCATAAGGTAGAATGTACTTAAGTAGAACACTAAACATCATAAGACATGGTGTACTTAAGTGGAATATGCAACATTTTAATGTATGTTACACATAAGTAAAATACAATACACCGTATAGTCTAATATGTTTTGTGGGCTTGTTCAGCTTGCAGCCCACACACGCAATTCAATAAATAAAAACCTTGTGCTGAAGTATTTAATACTTGACCAAATTTGATTTGTGAGACCCTAACTACATTTACTCTTTTTTCTCTCGTAGTCATCATTCGAATCAGCTAGCAATGAGATTGAATACACTCTCATGTCCATTTTTAAGGACTGATTTAAAGGAAATTTTTGTTTTCTGATGCATATTTTAATTGTGATTTCCCTTCAATTTATTCTAAGCTAACAATGTTTGGAACTACATGTGTAAGTTGTTACCAGTGTTGAAGTCGTCCGGTGAAATATAACATCCAAGACATTGCTTCTAGAGAATACAATTTCTTCCAATCTACTGTAATTTTAGGCATCAGAAACCCTTGCTTTATGTTTAATTGAAAAAATTCAGCACTCGATTGATCAACGCTCATACAAATATTTTCTTATAAGGAGTCATCTAAGTATCTTTCACATAATTAGAAAATAAGCTACAACCAACACATGCTTGCTCAAACTAATGGAACCATTGTTAAAACTCCACGTCGTTGGTGGACTACACAACACCTGTCTATAGTGAGATTATCAGATATTGCATATCTTTTAACATATATTATTTTCATCTTTAACCAACATTTTTTATATGAAATTGATAAGGCAAATTAACCGTCTATGGATAAACAACTTCACTTTTTTATCAAATCAAGACCTATATCAATCAAAATAATTTAGAGACATAACCCTTTCTTAGTAAACAATTATTTCAGCTTATCTAATATCCAACAAAAAATGTCAGCTTAGTTGATATCATACCTACATTTTCAAACAGTGGTTGTTTGTATCTGTTTCTTTTGTATGTTTTGTCCACAATAAAAAATAGGAAAAATGTTCAACAACTTGACCGAATTAAGGTGGACGTAAAAAATTATTTCTACTCCAATAAAAATAATTTGCATCCTCTACCACCTTATACAAATGTTTTATATCTTTTTCTAGGGCCTCTCACGTGTTTTTGATGCATACTCTTCTGTTTACTATGAATTCTTTGATGCATAATTTTTTATATATTTGTGTTACCCGAGTGACATTCTCAAGATCTTGATCTTGTAATAATAGAAGTACGTGTCTTGGTAAAATATGACACTTTTGTCAAATCCATAACATGTTTTTGCTCATCTGCACATAGACACCACACAAAAGCATAACCTTCCAATCTATCTATCTATTAGGTAAATCGTGATTGCGAAGTCCACATTTTTCATTAATTTTCTATTCCAAACCATCTTTAAATGGTGTTGACCTGATTTTGATTGAACAACCACGTTTTTTAGTAACACTTTATGTTGAACTTTTGATTTTCTTATACTTGCCACTTCTATCACAACCCAATATTAATTTTATAAGTCTCTTTCTATCGTTCCTATCTCTATATCTGATCATGTAATGATAACAATCATATTAGGTCTAATTCCAACCACCCCAGCCCACGTCACTACAACTTCTCGCGTGTCAAACTTGTTACACATCAAATAAACATTTAAAAAATGTAATCTAATTAACATGTTACATATCAAATTGTTACATTAGAGTGTTCTGATAATTTTACTCACCATAATACTTTAACAAACTGAAATATTTGTGAGGTAAAAAATCTCCAAATTTAAAAGGTGGTGAAAAAATCTAGCTAGAATAAATAGTTACAATTTTAAAAATAGTAAACTTGACAAGTTTTTAAATTTCTTAGGAATGAAAATAAAATTATAGAGGCGAGGATAGATTTTTCATGAGATTGGAGAAATTTGATTTTTTTAACTTTTAAGTTTCTAGTCATCCCAAAACCTACTTCCATCGAGACGACAAATCAAAAAAGGGTTGCTCTTTCCACTCTTATGTGTTCTCCGACACCATCGTGAAAATTTTCAAGCATCTTCAGATGCACCTTTTTCACACACACCTCATCTGAAATTGCGGAGAAACCCTTATACTGTTAAATTTTGGTCTAGAGATCCATCTTCGAAATCCCCTTAGTTCATTATTTTGTGAGCTTTCAGGAGATACATCTCTAGCATATGCTTTGTTACATGAATACACAAATTCAAGATGGGGATATGGACTCATTATGGTTTTT